TATATATATATATATCCTCAGGTTCAGTGGGACTAATTTCTATAAATAAAGATTGAATGAATGATTAAATGAGGGACTGCTGTAATACCATTTGATTAATCAAAACAACAAAGAAAGTATTTAGTGATCATCTAAATTGGCTTTGTAGCCCTGGAGAACTGTTGGGTCTCTGGTTTGAAACCTCCATCTTAGGGGAACTCTTTTTTCTTTTTGTCCGTCCATACGCAGAACAGACTACCAGTAAAATATCTAAAAATGTGAAATAATATTGTTTATCGACTGTGTTTATTGTGCTTTAATACTGCATGGTAAAATAAATAATAATCAGAAAATCAACAGGTGCTTTCATAATCTGCACTAACTCAACTCCAGCACGTTTTCTCACAAAATTTGAGTGAAATTACTAACTTTTTATTAGATGAGCAACAAAAAAACAAAGTGAGAAAACTTAATTTTGTTTAATTTGTACATACAAACATTTAAAACATTTAAACAAAACTCTTTTTTTTTTTTTCCTGCTCTCAGGTCAAAGCTCTCCAGGAGAAAGTCGGTCCAGTCGGCCCCGTCTGCTCAGAGGATGTGAGAGGTGACTCTGGCTTACGGGAGAACATACAATCTACAAGCTCAACTTAGCATCTTGCTACAATAAAAAACAAAATGTATAGCTAACATATCCTCTGATATGGTGACTGATTCTCGTCACAAAGATAACTTATCGCTCATTTCAAACCCGTCCTGTGTCACTTTCTGCAGCCACTTCTTCAGACCTTGCATGGTGTGCTCCCTTTTGACCTTTAGATGAACTTTTAAGGAAAACCAACTACACAAACCGGCTCATTAACTTCCTTCTGCTGGACGTTGGGACGTGTTCTGATTAGTTTAAATGTTCACCTAGGGTTATGTTATCTGTGAGGTTTCCAGCTCCTTGTAAAAAGATAGTATGAGACCTCTTTTATCTATTATAATAAAAAGTCCCGGTAGAAAAACAAACATTAACCATGTTGCATCAGTAAGGTGAAGGAAAAACATTCAACTTTTTCTATGTAGACACGTGTCAGGCAGAGGGATGCTAGATCCTTAGAGATACACCATACATACACTGTAAAATACCTCAGTTTGGATTGGTTCGATGCTGTTTCATGGCAGGCGTTTCAGACAGCACAGAGGAAAAAAAAAGAAGCTTTTGCTGATCTTTTTAACTTTAAAGTAGCACGAGAAGAGATTTGCTCAGATGGTGTTGTTCCCATGTTGTTTCTTTAAGTGGTTTCAAGAAAACTGGATTCATTGGCTCGACTAAGGCAAACTAATTCACTATAAGGAGAGACAGCGTTTGCCCTTGCCTTGCTTGTTTTATTTTTTGACATGTTTAATATAATCTTAATAAAACAGAAGATCGCTGTGGCTATAGTCAGTGTACTGCACTTTTATTTATTGTGACAAGACCTCTGACAGTTTTGTTGCATGGCACTTTATTGTCTTTTTTTTACATTAATGTACTATATTTGTTTTATTTTAACCAAAGCAATGTTTTATTGTCATAGTCACATTTTATTGTGTATTTGTGTCAGAATGTAGCTTTTTTTTTTTGACGATGCAAAATATCTGGATTATCATATTTTCTCTTAAGTCAGAAGGTTCAAGACGTTTAAGTTAAAGTTAACTGATGGTAATGTGGTTGAAAGCTGAAGTCAGGACAGGATGGTTTTTATTTGGAAGTACATCATGGTCCCAGTAACAGTTTTAAGTTTGCAGTGATTGTTTGCAGGGGGAGTGGGCGGAGTTTAAGTCCCCATGCCCCAAAAATCCAAAATGGCAGCTCCTGTAAACCGTTCCTGCTGGCTTGAACTCCCCAAAACAAGGGAAGATGTTGTCATTTGGTCTATTTCTGTACATGTCAATGACTCAAACACAAAGATGAAAAACAAAGATTAGTTCATACTAAATGGACCTTCCATCACACGTGTAGCTCAGCAGCAAACTTCTTGTTTTGTTATTTTAAATAATGCATAACAAGCTTGCTGCTAAGCTAATAATCTCATTCCTGCAGCCTAAATTTATTGAACTGAACAAAGATAAATACCCACCACAGCTTCTAACCAAAAAAGTTAAAAGAATAATAAAATTCCTGCATTAAACATCTGAACCCACTAACATTAACTGCTTAATTTATTACCAAACAGCACTTTTTTTGTCACCTTCTTTGTTTACAAGCGCTCCACTGAACAAGAACATTTTAAACTCTTGTATTAGTCAAGAAAGGACAAATCTTTCATTAAACTCATTAACGGGCACTTGCTTTGAGCACACAATAGTCTTGTCCTTTCACCAGATCGTGCCTCTCTTTCTTCTTTTATCCCCTCTTTTTAAGTAATAAAATTAAAGTTATACACATCCCGCATTAGGCTTTTATGTATATGAATATCAGATACAAATAATAAACAATATTTGTTATGTTTATGTCTAATCTTTAAAGAGCGCATCTTATCAGTAGTGTCGATGCTGCTTTTTTTCTGCAGTTTCCAGCTTAGCTTTTGTTTCAGAGCTGCTTATCTTAGATCAGGGGTCTGCAACCTTTATGATCAAAAGAGGCATTTTTACACCGTCAGTCACTAAATTAAATGTGTCCAGAGCTGCAATAACCTGTGATTATCAACTGGTGGCCCATGGGCCACTTTAGGTTTGTTGGAGGAGACTTTTGTGGCCAGTAGGGCTGGCATTATAAAGCTAAAAATATCTAATGATTTTTAACATTTATTGATTTTTTTTTTTTTTTTACAATTTAAGACAAATGAAAAGACCAGATTCTTGTAAGGGGGGGGGGGGGGGGGGTTTTTTTTTTTAATTAAATAATTAAATAAACTATGAACTGTGCAGGCCTATGTGATTTTCTTTTTAATTGTAGAAAAATGGACAGTGAGCCTTATAATCCGGTGCTTCTTATGCATTAATTCTGGTTGTGCTTACTGACCTCGAACCGATTTTATGTGGTGCATGGCGCTCAAAATTTTGTCAAAATTAACTTGTTTTGCTTAATGCGCCTTATAATAAGCTGCGCCTTATAGGCCGAAAAATACGGTATGTATAGAAATAAAGCAAAATGTTGAAGAGTATTTGCAAAAGAACTGACAGGAAAACAGCTAAAACTAGTATTTTTTTGTTGTTTGTATAACAACCAATAAAATTCAGTTTTATGCTAATTTTGTTCAAAGCTTGAAAGAGCCACTGCGGAGGGACAAAAAGAGCCACATGTGGCTCCAGAGCCGCAGGTTGCAGACCCCTGTATTAGATCAACACAAGCCAGTTTGATCAGCTTGTGTTAGCATGAATTTCATGATATTAATGCTTTTATTTATCTGTTTTGTTACCAAAATGGCCCCAAATATTTATTTCCGTAAAGGTTGAATTAGGTGAAGAAGTAAGAAATGTTAGCAAAGCAGGTCCTCCCTTTTCGTTGACGTGGGAATAAAGGTCTGGTTAGCCAGCCAGTCTGCCTTCTTACAGTATGTTTTATTTGTTTACTTCTTTACTTTGTTAATTTTCATGATCAGATTGAAGGAAAGCCTGCAAATAAAAAGCTGTTGTGACTGTTTGCCACAGGCCAGCCAACCTGGTGCGCAAATCAGTCTGATAAAGGTTTCAAGGCAAAGTTGTGTTTTCCTGTTCAAGCAAATTACTGGAACTTTTTTTTCTGAATGTTTTTGGGTCATCTTGTTGAAACTACATTTATTTTGTACGTTATACTGTAAACTTGGAGAAAAGATCATAGATAGTTGTATTTTTTATTGGTATTAGAAGAGTAAATCATGTTTTACGACTATACAGTATTGCACTTTTGCAAAAACACTTTTGTTTGTATGATTTTGTCACGTTTTTGAAATATTTGTATAAAAAATAGTTTATTTAAAGACTAATATGATCTTGCTTTTAAGGAGAAGAGGATTAACATTGTTTTATGTATTTATTTCATGTCTGCTGTCAACGCGGCTCTATTGCACCAAACTTCATTGTCCTTTATTTTGCAAATGACAAGTCAAGTCAAGTCATCTTTATTTGTAGAGCACAATTTAAAACAGATAAACTGTTATCAAAGTGACAGATGTATAACGCTCCAAACAGTCAAACGGTTTCATGTGAAAAAGTCTGGGACAGTTTTGAATCAGCTTTAATGTGCTGGCAGTGATTGCTAAATGGTCCAAGAGTTGATTATTTAATATTTGGCTTGCTTTAACGGTCATAGCTGTGGACCAGAGCATGCAGGTCCACCATTTTTCTGCTGAACCTTGTCCTTCTCTCCTGCCTTATAGCTCGCTAATGACAACAGCTTTCCACTCCTTAAGAGCTGCTTGTAAAGTACTGTACTGTCATTCATGATCCTTGTAATGATTACCTGAACACCTTCCTCTTGGCTCTGTCTTGTATATAAATGAAGATTTCTGTGTCGGGCCTCCGCACAGACGATATAAGTCTCTTCCTCTGTGTACCAAGATTACAACTGACCTGCTGCTTCGTCAAGTGTCACTGAAGAGTAAAGAATGCTGATTTTTATGCACGTTTGCTCGTTTTTAGATCAGGTGCTTGTGTTAAATCTGGGGAAAGGTCTGCGCTCTTGCTCGGAGTTGCTTGACAGAAGCAGACACAGGTCTCAGCCTGTGACAAAGTCCTAATCTCAGTGGTCACGTTTATCTTTTTTTGAGTGTTCTGGGGTTCTTTCTCATGTCTGTGGACACATAACAAGAGTTGTCAAGAAAAAAAAATTATAAATCCAACAAAAGGCAAATAAATAAATGAGTGTTGAAACTTATGCAACAACTAGATGTGGTATGTTTGTCATTTCCAACATGTTTTCACTTCTAATAACTGTAGAATCAGGCTGATAAACCAGGCACTCAGTTTCTTTTATAGAGGGGTAGGACATCTTTCCTGCAGAAGGGTTTGTGCAGACAGAGCAGCTTTGTTAATGGATAATAGCTCTTTTCATGCCTGTTGCATAACAGTTTTGTACATTTGCTCCAGGTGAACACATTTGCCACAGAGGCTGCATTTGTGCAGCTTTCTATTATTGATTATCTTCTCAGCATGTTCTCTGCAGCAGCAAAGCCTAATGCCCCGTTAACAGAGGCAGGAGCACTGGTTCCGATCCAAAGGTCATGGATTGAGTCAGGGTTCGTTGCCCATCATGATATTAAGTCTGCTCTGAAAATATTCCATCGTAAATAAAGAGTCCATTCATGTTTTTATTGTATTTATTTTTTTGTGCAGGGTATTGTGCTCCAGCAGTCACTGAGTGAGAGGCGGCGCACAGAGACAACTGTTCTTGTGACAATTTAGAGTTATCAGTTAATAAACGGTAAATGGAATGTACTTATATAGCACCTTTCTATCTTATCAAGATAGTCAAAGTGCTTTACACTATAATCTGTGCCCTCATTTACCCACAGCACTCTAAGAATAATCACTACCTGTATAAATAAAGGGTAAATGGAAAAAAAAAAAAAAATCAGTTTATCTTTATCACATTCATTCACTGATGGGACACACATTGGAGTTCAGTGTCTTGCCCAGGGACACTTCAGCATGTGATTGCTCGTGGAATCGAACCCCCAGCTCTTGCAGTGGAGGACGACTGCTCTAACTACTCGGCCACAGCCGTCCCCAGCCTAACATGGATGTTATTGGTTGAGGAAGCCCATGCATAAGGAGAACGTGCAAACTCCACACAGAAAGGCATTAGCCAGGTGTTGAACCTGCAACCTTATTGCTGTGAGATGATGGCTCTAACCACAGTTTAGGTTTATTTATTTATTTACCCTTTGTTTATACAGGTAGTCTCATTGAGTCATGAGAACTCATTTTCAAGAGAGACCTGTTTTTTGGGAGCAGATGGTGGGGGTTAAGGGTCTTGCTCAAGGGCCCAGAATGGGGCAAATGAGGGTGGAGGCAGATGTGGGTGTTTCACCTTTTCCACACACGTTTTGATGTTGTCATTCCGGGGAGTTGAACCTGCAACTTTTCAATCACAGGCCCATCTTCTTTAACCTCTGCGCCACCACTCCCCAAGGTTAAGTTAAGAAATTATTGTCCTTAATATTGAGGAAAATAAACCGTTAGTTCAACAGATTGTTCAGTTCTGATTTGTAAAGTTGGAAGTTGCTCACAAGCTTTGGCTTTAAAACTCAACATGACCGCTTCATGAATTAAAAGTGATGATAACTGCAATAATAATCCTTTTTATTTGTACTTTTATCAATGTATATGTAATTAAATCAGACACATTGTATTGTTTGTTGTATTTTAGTGAACACATTGCATAAAATATACACAGTTACAAGCTTGTAATGCTAACAGCTACCCTGACCACTGAGCAGAGCAAACAACAAATCCTGCTGGAAACTGGAAAACTGAGCTGAGATAAGACTTCTAACTTCTGAAATAAATGCAATGAAAAGAAAAGCCCCTGACTTTACAAGTTAGAAATGCTGTAGCTGAACAAAACAAAATCAAATACAGCTGAAACTAAACAACTGTCTGCTGACACGAGTCCTACATGATGAAACAGCAATAATTTGTCTTTATCTTCTCAGTGTTTCTGTATTTTCTGCCAGTAGAGGTTGCTGTGGTGACTGAAACCAGCTTTGTGAAAGGCAAATTATCAAACCTAGAGGCACACCCCAGGAAGCAGTGGTTCAGTGGTGTGTGCATAGGGTGACTGCCATTTTGTTCCTATAACACACACACATACACTTGAGCAGGCGTGTTCAGAGCTCGACAGTATTTTGTCTCCCACATACATTCAAAGAGCGACCCGTTCTATACCTCCAGGTCCAAGTCATCCAATTCCACCTCTTTAATTATGCACACAAAGAAGGGCCCCCATCTGAGGTTTGGGTCCAGTTTGTGTTGCTCACAGGTTTTAATGTTTACTGGCTTCCACCAGGTGAGGACCAGAACATAATGCTTTAATGCTGCTTTGTTTCTTATAGATTTTCTTTTTTTTGTTTGTTAGTTGGGTTTTTGTCCGCATTTTTTTTCCGCCATCATTGAATATCTGTCATTACTGGACTGCCAGTACTTACAATGTAAGTATAATAAAAACTTTAATCATCATTATTGAAAGTGTTATTCTAGTGTTAGAAAATTAGGATAAAAATGTGATTATTAGTAACAGATTTATCAGAATAGTGACAAAAAACAAAAATATATTAGATAGATAGATAGATGATAGATAGATAGATAGATAGATAGATAGA